AATTTCAAATGTTATGTTAGTAATTTGTACGAAAAACAAGATTCTAGTCCATTGACGCACGCATCAAAGTCAAATTTAAGTAGACATATAATCTTTGTTTTAACAAGGATAGTTACATCTAACCTGAACATAGTGATCGTCAAATATTGCCTTCTGTTGCAAGCTCCAAGCCTTTACGCAAAATATGTAAGAAACCTTGTCCATGAAGTTCTTAAATATATTTGGTGGGAAGCTAAAAATATATACGCTGTTCTGCTCTGACATCCTGAAAGGTGAAATCATACGCTAATTTGCTGCTTCAATTGTTGCCACAATTTATGAAACCGATACGATTCATAATTATTGTTGAATCAGTAAATTAATAGAAAAACTTGCAATCTAATTTAAATTAATAGGATATTGATTGTGAAATCTAATTGACTTTATTAAGTTTTTAATAATTTAATTGATGTAGTTAAAATCGATTCAAACTAGATCGAGAAAAAAAATATATTTTAATAAAAATAATTAACCTAAAATGACCTAGGAACCCCCGGTATCACAATGATCCAAACCCACTTTTAGATCACCAATCAAATCCGACAACCGTGCCAACGATGCCATTATACGAGGGAACTGCAGAAAAGAGCCAACCTGAATATGAGAAAGGGCATTCTGCCTACACGCAACGAAGAGCATGACAAAGCTTCCTGCTTGTGTCAACAAACGCAAACTCATCGTGTCTGACGGTTCCATTCTGAATATGAGAAAGCTTCCTGCTTGTCACCAAACGCAAACTCATCGTGTCTGACGGTTCAAGGACAAGGATAGCATAGACTGAAATATTAACGGGGACAAGCAGGGATCGCCAGTGTGCTCGTTTCCTTCTCTCAACCTTAGTAAGGGCATAGGGAGAAGACATGAAATAGATCCATCAAACACAAATAATGAAATGGAACGTTTCCATTTCTAAATATCACGGAGTAATGATGATTAGAATAGTTTGGCCACAATAACGAATATCGTGGAAGCAACAGTAGAGGGAATACAATATTTCCATTTCATAAGATATATGAACAACTACAACCTTTTATTGCATCCTCAACTTATTCAACACAACCCTATGTACAGCACTGCTTGGCCATTTTGTTCAATTGAGGAGGTTATTACAACATATAAGAGATCAACTACGTTGCGCGAGTTGGGGGTCTAGTTTATTTAACAATAGTTGCCTAGTTTTCTGCCAAATCTATTTTCCAGGCTTATGCTATTACTCATTTCTTCCATTGCTGCATGGGAGTATTTCGCTTCTACTTTCTTTTTTCCTTTTCATGAATTAGTTGACAGTTATTGCCTCTTGGAAACATCCCATTCTTCAGTCTTCGCAAACCTTCCTCGAATCCTTGGTTGACTGTCTGCAAGAGCCTTCCTGCAAGCATACTGAAACAAACATATTGTGAGTTGAATTCAGTGTGGAAAATCAGGAATGGATACATCTCACCAAGTATGATCTGAGTCATGCAAGTTTTGATGCCTTTTATAAGCAGACCCCTTTGATTTTAAAACACAGGCAATGAGTGACTAAATTTTCACGGGGCTGATACTTTAATTTGAAGTTCAGGCAAGTCAGAAAGTAAATATACAAAAAATCAACAATAATACTCAATTATTTACCTTAATTTTCCTGCCAAAGTTCCTCTTTGTCTTCTTGTTCCTGTACCTTGAAAGCTTTTCCCTGCGGTCCTCGGCAGAGCAGTTGTTGATAATCAATGGTTGGTCAAGGGTAGAATGGATGAGGCTTGTATTACCGTTACCAAGTGTCTGTCATAAAAACTCAGTATCAATGACTCAGCCCCATCCTGTGGAAATGGCCAGAAGCATCTAAACAATTCTCAGTCCGTAGACTTCATTATAAAGCATATTCATGCTTGGTGCTGAATTGCATAGAAATGTTCCACTGGAATCTGGTTGATTATCCGAGAGAAATGATAAAGGAAAATAGAATTAAAACTGAAAATAAAAGCAACAGATTCTGCTTTGGAAGTAGTGGATATTGTGGTTCTTCATCTACAGTTCCATTTTACATGGGGAAAAAATTGATTGAATTCTTGATAAAGGCACCAAGAGAAAGGTGTCAGTTATCTGTCCAACTGGAAGGGCTAACAGGAGCGGCAACATTATGGAATAATACTAATAAAGAAAAGCTGGGAGTTCCAAGTGATTCATGTCAGTGGCTTGACTTGCAATATCAAAACTTATGACTTCATTGTTTTCAGAAACAATAAAAAAGCACCACAAGCACACAGAGAATCCTTGTTTAGGGTTAACTGCCAGGTTAATGATTCTTTTCAGGTAAAGGTCTATGTTTTCTGCCACATACAAGGAGGATCTAAGCAGAAGAGAAAATCGTTCAAAAGTGCAATAAAGGCCTATAATCAAATACACACAGAAGTACCATAATGGATTTGATCTAACCTTTATGTCTCCTTCGCTGTATGCTCTCCTCATTCCATAAGCATTTTCAAAATCAATTCCAGGAAACTCCAGAAAACTTGGCTTCACTGCAGCACCATGCAGCCACTCCACTGACCTCAAACATCCTGAGCTGACACTTTTTAATAGCGCAGCATCAGGGAGCAATTTGTTTTCTTGAAAGTTGTTTTCGTCAGTCCTCACAATAGGAATCTTGATATCCAGAAGCTCTGCAAGCGATGGTGCTTCCATGGCTTCTTTTTCCAGGATGTCCTTCTTGCATTCATAGAAAACCTCATTCAAAAGCTGCTCATTTTGAATCGATTCAATATCTGCCACCTCAAGTCCTTGTGAAGAAATGACTTCTTCCCCATAGGAGATCATTGAAATGGCTGCTGTCATGGGATCAATGACCACAAGTGGCTCTTCAATGATTGGTTCAGGTGCTTTGAACAGATCCCCCTCGCCTCCCAGATCATATTCTGATATGGTGGTCTGGAGTAGGTTGCTCTACATTAGACAAGGTTGTCAACAACAAACAAGATGAAATAGGAAAATTAGGTATAGAGTAAATATTGATCTAAACACTTCACCAATTATGTTAGCCTCAGCCTTAAGGTATTCTTAAATAGGTTGAAAATAAAGTCTTGTTATATGTTACAGCTCAATCTGGTAAAAGTGCTGATATGAGAACACGTCTATACAGCAGTAAACAGACATGCACAAGTACATATATGCAGAAGCTGTAAATATGCATTTTCGATGAAATCCTACAGATTTTTAAAAATATGTTAAAGTGATGAATCACTTGATTAATTCTAAAAACCATACATAATTCAAAGTTTTCTAAATTTTTTTATTATTGAATTTTGTTGATTAGCTTTTCTTTGTTATTTTCTAGTTTGTATCTTTGAATGCTTAGTTTTTTCACCTTTGTATCAGAACTATTCTGTTTTTAGTTGCTTTTTGTTTAGTTGAAAATTTCATTAACCAAATAAGAAACCATGTGATCATGGTCGTTCAGTAGAGTTGAATGTGTTAAGTTTCCTAAATAAACGCATAAATATATGTTAAAATCACAAGTCTCACCAATTCTTGAAAACAAACCAAATTTATGTTGTTCGTGCATGTATTGTTTTAGTTTGCGATGCAAAAGTTCTTTTAAATTTGTTGAGATTAAACCATTGAACCAAATTGAGGCTTCTTTGAGTAAAATAACAAATTGAGAGACAAATCCAACAAATCCTATAATTAGTGTTCAAGAATTCCTCCAAAGAAAAGAGCAAAAGAAGAGTCCTCATTGTAACTTGTTAAGACCAAATTTTCAAGACAGATTAACTGATTTCTTTATGAGAAGAACACTAAACAGCTCAACCTAAGTAAAGATCCTTCAAATGGCTGAACACCTATGACTCAAATATCACAAACTTATTTGCATAAATATCAACCACTTTTAGCAAATGCAAAGGTCTAATGAAACTCTTTCAAGGCTAATTTTCTTTTAACCTCCTTTATCCAAGTTCTATTTCAACATCCAACAGAAAGAGAAAGTCAGCAAAAAAAAAATTATAAAAATTAGAGGTGGAGAATGCTCTCTCTTTCTCCACTATCCAAACTTTTTCTCCTTCTTTATGCTAAAAAAATAAAACGAGACTTTTTTCATATTTTAACTCCCTTAGTTAGTGGATCAAGATGCCAACAAAAATCTAAGTATTAGTTCACCATCACACAATTGGAGCGAGAAAATAGAAGAAAGCTTAGAGAACACGTTCTTTGAAACTATGAAATCATTTTCCCTTTCGTAGTCTTTCTTTTGCTTTATTTTCTAGATTCAACATGTAAAGAGATAACAGTTATTGTTTCCATTTTAGCCCAATTTGGTTGCTTAGTAAAGGTGGAGAACAAAACCTAAAGACATTCATACTTGTCTAAATAAGCACAAACCCACTAGCATAAAAGACAAAGCTCACAAAAAAGCAAGTATTTTCCTCCATGTCCTCAACAACCAAACAGAGGAGTAATAGACACAAACATCAAGAAGACAAGTTCCACTGAAAAAAATCAAGTCCTCGAGATCGAGACTTTGAACTTTCAATATGAAGTTTCGCAAAGAAACAAGAAAAATATGAACTTTAAAGTGGGTTTCCATAGAAAAACACAGATATTTCGTACCGATGCACCCCATTTTCTCAGAAACCAGACAGCAGGTTTGAGCAGAAAGCAAACACCAAATCGAAGTACACAAAAACGAAAGCTCGAAACTCTAAAACAACCAAAGCCCAGTTCGGAACGGATCAAATTAATGTAGATCACCCAGATAGACAAAGAGAAGAGAGCCAAAACACACAGTAAAAGAGGCATATAAGTACAAACAAAAACAAAGAGAAAACAGAGTACCATTGAAGCATTGGTCTTTTGGCACTTGCAATACTCTTCAAGTTGTTGAATATCTTGAGAGAAATCCTGCATATAGGGAAACAATAGCCACGTCTCTGCATACATTTTTGTCCAAAATTGCAATCACTCTGTTTTTCCAAATCTTGAAACAGAGAAGAAACGGAGCAAAAGGGAGAAATCACCTCTTGCAAACAGAGTAACCTAAAAATACAACACAACACAACACTAGCTAGCTTAGGACTGCTGAAAAGCAGGCAGCCACACAACACAACACTAGCCAGCTTAGGACTGCTGAAAAGCAGGCAGCCAAAATGCAACAGAGAGAGAGAAAGAGAGAGAGAGAGAGACAGACAGGCAGAGAGAGAGATTGGTCCTGTTGTGGCCTTTGATTTAAGACAAGAAGGAAAGGGAATATATATATGTATATAAATGTATATAATAATCATATGGATGGGGAATTACTCTATTTATTGAAATAGTATTTTTACAGTTTTATTTTTATAAAAAAATAGTTATGCTTGTAACTAGGACATGATTTTTTTTTTTGGTTTATTTATTTTTATGTTTTGAAAATATTTTAAAAAATAATAATTTTTTTAATTCAAATTATGTTTTTGGGTGTTTTTAAATTATTTTAATATATTATTAAATAAAAAATACTTTAAAAAATAACATTTATCACATTCTCAAATACCATCTTTAAATAATACATTAGTCATTACAAAATTAATTGAAGAAAATTTGATTCAGTCACTTTTTTTAATATAATTAAATAATTATTTTACCCTAAACAACAACAAAATATAAAGTTTTCTTAAGAAAATTTTTCATTTTCAAAAATTTTACACGTTTAAGTTACAATCATATCCCTTGAAAGAAAAATAAAATGAACATACAGGGTGGCCTCTACATCTTTACCTTTTAAAAAACAATGAAACTTCAAAACTATCTTTAGAATCCACAAAAAAATAAAAATAATAATAAGGTTAGTTTCAAGAGTATCTTGATTTTTTTATTTCTTTTAATTTTGTTGTTATTATTTAATATGGTTAATAGTTATTTAATAATTTCATGTTATTAAATATTATTAAGAAAAAGTTGTTAATGCATGCAAGGTACACGTTTGTGTTTAATGGCCTCGATAACATTCAGATGGCATGTGAAGTTTCTTTCGGTTACTGAAAACCTGTTTTTGTAGCCGCGTTGAAAGCAACAATGTGGCGCGTGCTAATAAAGAAGGTTTAGTTGGGCTACATTGTGATTTTTTTTCTTTCTTCACTCTACTCTCTCTCTCTCATTCCCTAAAACTCCGCACCTAAGCTTTAAAAAAATCAATTATGTCCTTCGATTTGTGATTTGATTAATTTTGATTCTTCTTTTTTTTATTACTGTTTATTTAGCTTTTAATACTATTTGTATTTTTTTTCAATTTTATCCTTAAGAATTTTATTCAATTTGATTTTTTAATTCAATTTGATCCCTTTACTTTTGATTTCTTTATTTCTATGTCTCATACTTTTCTTGATTATTATTTATTTGCAATTTCATCCCTTTTAATTTTATTGCACCTATTTTTAATCTGATTTGGTCTCCTTCATTTTGTTTTAATACTATATCTGGTTTGCATTGTTTGGATTTTTAATTGTTTTATTGTTGTATATTTTACTTTGTTATTTTTTCATGATTTCCTTCCAATAGGTTGAAAATTGTTTTTATTTTTGAATTCATAATTTGATATTTTATCGTTAAGCTCTTAGATTCATTAGGTTATTAGGTCATGAACTTTATAAAAATTTTTCGCTTTTCTCTATGCGGGTTCTTTCAGTCTTATATCATGGATTGTGTTTTAGTAAATTAAACCTGATTTATCTCATATTATAATCATCTAAATATTATATTTTTAGCATTGAAAAAAATTCAGTCTGGGCTCGCGGTGTAGCATAGGCTATCTATCTAGTGATAATACAAGAATCTAAAAAAATAATAATAATAAAATTAGTTTCAAGGGTATCTTGATCTTTTTATTTCTTTTGATTTTGTTGTTATTATTTAGTATGGTTAACAGTTATTTAATAATTTTATATTATTAAATATTATTAAGAAAAAATTGTTAATGCATGCAAGGTAGTGTTTAATGGCCTCGATGATATTCAGATAGCATGTGAAGTTCCTTTCAATTACTGAAAACCTGTTTTTGTGGCTGCGTTGAGAGCAGCATTGTGGCGCGTGTTAATGGAGGAGGTTCAGTTGAGCTACGTAATTTTTTTTCTTTCTTCACTCTTCTCTCTCTCTCTCTCTCTCTGTCATTCCCTAAAACTTCACACCTAAGCCTTAAAAAAGCCAATTATGTCCTTCGATTTGTAATTTGATTAATTTTGATTCTTCTTTTTTTTATTACTGTTTATTTAGTTTTTAATATTATTTGTATTTTTTTTTCAATTTTATCTTTAAAAATTTTATTCAATTTAATTTTTTAATTCAATTTGATCCCTTTACTTTTGATTTCTTTATTTCTGTGTTTCATACTTTTCTTGATTATTATTTATCTGTAATTTCATCCCTTTTAATTTTATTGCACCTCTTTTTAATCTGATTTGGTCTCCTTCATTTTGTTTTAATACTATATCTGGTTTGCATTGTTTGGATTTTTAATTATTTTATTGCTGTATATTATACTTTGTTATTTTTTCATGATTTCCTTCCAATAGGTTGAAAATTGTTTTTATTTTCGAATTCATAATTTGACATTTTATTGTTAAGCTCTTAGATTCATTAGGTTATTAGGTTATAAACTTTATAAATTTTTTTCGCTTTTCTTTATGCGGGTTCTTTCAGTCTTATATCATGGATTGTGTTTTAGTAAATTAAACCTGGTTTATCTCATATTATAATCACCTAAATATTATATTTATAGCATTGAAAAAAATTCAGCCTGGACCTGCGGCATAGCATAGGCTATCTATCTAGTGATAATACTATACATGATCCTCCATGTCTACCCTCATGTAATTTTTTTATTAGTATAAGAAAATTATTCAATTTGTAGGTGTTTTATATCCTAAGAAGGATTAATATATTTATGTTTGGTTAATTTTATTTATAAAAATATTTTAAATTTTGATTTTGATATTTTTTATATTTGTTGATGTATAACATTATTTAGAATCAATCAATGTAGCAACATTTTTTTGTACCAAGAAAGTAATATTATGGTGTGTGTATGTGTTTCTTTTTTCTTTTCTTTTTTTTCTTTTTATTTTGGGTGTTTTTAGTAATGTTTAATTGGGAGTGTTGTTGTTGTTGTTCCTTTTTGTTCCACTTTTTTTTTTCCTGCTTGTACATTCTTTATATTTCTTCTATTTATTATTAAGAATGTGATTAGTAATGCTCAGTTAGTAATTAATGTTAACTTATTTTTTTATCTTTTAATAAAATATATATTCAAGAAAGAAAAAGAAAGTCAAATCTAAGACTTTATAAAAATAATAAAATATCTTCGTTTAAATTTTATTTTTATTCTTTTTGCGACTATTTGTTTTTTAAAATTTGATAAAGAAAAGTAACCAATAGGATGTTGAAGAAATTATAAAAAAAAACTTCACATAGAACAATCAAATTCTATAACTAACTAAGCTCATGAGTGTTTCTTGTAAAAAATGGATCTTTGTTAGAACAGGAGACACTTTAATTCTTAAGTTACTAATTGTAGGGATGGAAAATTTAATGGGTGGTGAGAAAATATATGGAAAGTGAAAGGAAGAGTGTCGCAGGATTATGGACTTGGTCTATTAGAAAAACTGTCTCCCTTTTGCCAGGTAGCTAGATATATATATATACTCAAGCATGTGATTTCTTCATGGAGAAGGGAGTCGTGACATGTGTGAGACGAGACATGAAAATTATATGATCTACATTATAATTGCTAGTATTGGAAAACAATCAACGTGAGAGAGTGAGAGAAAAAGCTGGAGAGAGCTAAAAAATCAAAAAATAAAAATTATATTAATTGTTAAGTTAAGTCAATGATTAAAAGGTTAGTCGATCGGGTCAGGTTAGACTTAAAATAACCAGGAGGGTTGATCATTGGACCCAACCCAAGTGATTCTAAACAACCCAAAAAGAATTTTAGTATATCATATAGGTCCTGATTATTCATTTAGCATCATAAAATTGTTTTTTCTCTTTTTTCAATCTAAGTGTATATTTTTATGTGATTATTCACCGTTAAAAATTAAGGTAGTTTATGACAAACAACTGCATAATAAATATAGGATTTAATGGGAAAAGAATTTTTGAATGCATCAATTTGAGTGGCATGTGTGAGACGAGACATAAAAACTATATGGTCTACAGATAATAAGAATTATATGGTCTACAGATAAAGCTGGAGAGAGCTAAAACATAAAAAAATATAAAAATTATATTGATTATTAAGCTAAGTCAGATGATTAAAAGGTTTAATTGATCGGGTCAGGCTAGGCTTAGAGCAACTAGGAGGGTTGATCATTGGACCTAAACAATCCAAAAAAAAATTTGATATATCATATAGGTCTTGATTATTCATTTAGCATCATAAAATTACTTCTTTTTTTTTTTGGATCTAAGTATATATTTTTATGTTATTATTCACCGTTTAAAAATTAAGGTAGTTTATGACACACAACTGCATAATAAATATAGGATTTAATGGGAAAAGAATTTTCGAATGCATCAATTTGAGTGTAGATGGCTTTTTTAAAATTCTAAAAAAGAATGTCCAGATATTGAACCAAAAATATATTTGAAGTAATGCTAAATAATTTTGGCCATGATTAGTATTTATATTCATGCTTATGGTTTATGATTATCAAATATGCAAGTTGAATGAAAAAGTAAATTAATTTAATTGTTTTAAATACTATTTTATATTTAGACTGTACAATACTGTATCGGAATTCTTCAATTTTTGTTCTTGCTTGTCGGTAGGACTTGAATTCTGGAAGAACAGGTGCAAATTTAAACCCAAAAACAACAGTGAGTTTAGCTGTAGTCCTCATAATATTTTTTTATTAAAAAGTTTTTGTAATATAGTATTACATCAAACCCCATCCAAGAGATGAATCCAAAAAATTTAGGATTCACAATCCTATTTTAATAGTAAATTAACTAATACTCATGTTGTCTAACGTTGAAGGAAGCTTTGAACTTATTAAAAAATAAAAATAAAAATTGCAAACATATAATGTATCTTAAT